TGCGTGCGTGCGTGCGTGTGCACCACAGTGTAGATGCCCAAGGAGAACAGATGCATTGCATCTCCCTGGACCTGGAGTCACAGGTGGTTGTGAACTACCCGATACAGGTGCTGGGAACTGAACTAAGGTCCTCTGCTAGAGCAGCACATGTTCTTTATTCTTCCTGTATTCATGAAGTTTGCTAAGATACACTGACAAAAGTGTATATTACTTAAATGTTTTCTCATATCTCCTCCTGTCGCCAAGCCATCTCACTGTCCCTTTATCTTCCTTGTATGCATTCCCTGAGTACCTTTTGTTAACGAGTTAATACTGAGAGAAGTCACTGACTTGGATGAAGAGCGTTTTTCTTTTGTTAGGAGGTAGAACGAGAAAGTTAGGGATGCCGGCCCCAACACCTCTTATTGACGCCACATGATGCTGCAGGCAGCTTCAGAGAAGAATGATCTGAGAGCAGAAGGGCCAAGAGGTTTTTCTTCTTGTTTCAACTCAAGGGAAAAGACAGTCAAGGGGACTATTAACTGCTGTTTCCAGCTCCAGGACAGTACCCAGAACCAGCTATTTAATATCTGAAGACCACATGGATGTGTACTGCTGAGTGTATATAAAATCTCCTTTTGTTTTTGAGCAAGACTGTTGCTAAGCTGCCCAGGCTATCTAAGCTATCCTAGAGTTAGGGATTCCAGCCTAGCCTTGAACTCGTGTTAGTCCTGTTGCCACACTTGGCAGGAAATCTCCTGAGTTTGTTGGACTCAACCCCATAAGAAGATTCCACAGAGTACCAAGTTCTGCTCTAAGGAAAAAAAAAACATGGTCAGAAAATGGCTGAATAATTTAGATGACAGTGCAAATTTAAGTGAGAAAAATAAAACATGTTTTTGACGGTCAGCAAAGTCTAACAGGGGTAGCGGTGAGGAGAGAAGCAGAGGCAGAAGCATGATCTTCAATGAGCTCTTAAATGTCTTTCTATAAGAATAGCCCTGCAGGCCCAGAAGGTGAGCCTCATAAGGCTTCCCTCGAAATAAGCACATTACGGTGTTTTTGCATAGGGTATGGTGACCACAGTTGATATTGAAATCTGCAATATTAACTACCTCTTTCTATGGAGTGAATCACACCCTACACAGTACTCACTTATCATCTCAGGTTCTTTGGTCAGAAATCTGAACATGGCTTAGCTGAATGACCTTGCATGGGGTCTCTCACAACAATCAACCCAGGGCTGGAGTTGACTCATTGCTCAACTTGGGAAGACTCCTCTTTCAAGGTCATTCATGTGGCTGCTGGCAGACCTCAAGTCCTCACTGGCCTTTTCCAGAGACACCAGCTCCTTCCCGTGCCAGTATCTCCACAAAGGAGCTTGTAGCACAGCAGCTGCTTTTCATCAGAGTGAGCAGGAGTAGACGCGGGAGCCTGAGGTCTGCCAGCACTCCATGGCCTCACCATGTTCCCTACCGGCCCTCAGCAGCAGGCTTGACAGAACAGTGGAATGACCTTTTGAAAATTCAGTTATGATGCCTGCTAGGTGAAGCACCTGGGGGAGCTGAAACAGTGTCTTCAAAGCCAGTGTTAATATACAGAGCCATTCACTTTTGATCTCGGAATGAAGGAACAGAAGTGGGATGAAACTCTAACGGTTACCCCTAATGATCTACTAATAAAACAGCTGCTTCCCACTGCTGACTCCAGGCCCTTCTGCTCTAAGGTACTGGTTCCATAAGAAGGAGTATTTCACTGGTACCACAATAAGGATGCCACAGAAATGAAACCACCATCTTTCCACTTCAGTCTCTTGATGCTCCTGAAACAACAGGAAATGAATGCTGCTACTCTCTTCTCCAGATGACAGATCCTCATTGCCAGGTGAAACTGAGCTGCTCTGACACGTGGGTAAGGAAAAATTTATCTGTGTGGTGTTTGAAGGGGAATGGCCCCCACAGGCTCATATATATACTTGGTTCCCAGTTAGTGGAACTGTTTGGGAAGGATTAGGAGGTGTGTCACTAGGAGTGGGCTTTGAAGTTTCAAAAGACTGGTACCATTCTTCTCTCTCTCTCTCTCTCTCTCTCTCTCTCTCTCTCTCTCTCTCTCTCTCTCTCTGCCTTCTTGAGTATCAAGATGTAAGATCTTAGCTGTTCCTGCTACCATGCCTCTGCTCCACTATCATGGACTCTAACCCTCTGAAAGTGCAAGCCCCAAATAAACACTTTCTTTTAGAAGTGGCCTTGATCATGAAGTTTTATCACAGGAATAGAAAGGTAAGACAATCAGCAATGCTGAAATTCTCCAGACTGCCTGTTAGTACCTCCTGTAATTATATTAAATAGGAGATTATAAAACTCTAATTCAGGCAGGACTGCGTATGGTCCAGACCTTCCAGGAACAAATGGGTGGGTCATTTCACTAGATGAAGAATCTTAACCAGCTGAAAGCCGAGGGGGTACTGAATTCATAGTAGAAGGTAGCTACAAACACCAGCTATAATTACATGAACAGTTTCAAAAATTAAGAAACTAATAATATTTCTTATTTTTATATTTATGGATATATAACACATATATACATTCGTCTGTATGTGGATCCCAGGCTAGAATTCACTACTCCTACTTGAGGACTAACCAAGTCTGGTCTTGAATTTGTGGTAATCCTCCTACTAAGTCAAGTGTTAGAATTATAGATGTGAGTCATCATGCTTGACTAGACTATGTATTAAAGAGGTACATATGAGTATAAAGCTATAAATTTGACTAGGCTGAACTATATTTTTCAAAATTCTTTTTCCTATGGTTATTATTAAGAAGGTACACAGGGAGTGTGTGTGTGTGTGTGTGTGTGTGTGTGTGTGTGTGTGTGTGTGTGTGTGTGTGTGTTTGTAGGTGGGACTGAGACAGGGATTTGTAAACTGCAGAGTAGCAGCCATTCCCTGCATACAGATATGGACACTTCTCTTTCTCTTTTGGGTCATCTTGTGATGTAAAGCAGTAGCTAGGACTGCTTTTGCTCTTTCTTCCCTTGGATTTTCCTTCAGCATCTCTGACAACTAGAGCAAGTGTGTGTTCACTGAAGTCCATGGTAAAGCACATAGACTTGTACAGGGCATGTGTACCACAGACAACAGAGGCAATGTGAAGGGAAATAGGTCCATCATTGTGGACTCCAGCTCTTGCTTCTGAGTTCTAGTACATCTTTGTTCTTTTCTACTTTACACCTAACTTCTGTAACTGTCTGTTCTCGGTACTAAAGTCCCAGAATCAAACTCAAATTATTGTCCTTGTAAAGCCTGTTTAACTAGCTCTAGTCAAATACTAGTAAAGGAGAAAAAAAATCCTGTTATCTATATGGATAAAGTAACTGGTCTTCATTCTCTCTGCTTTTTAGAGTTCTGAATTCAAGTGCTCACTACAACTTATTTGTAACCCCAAATCAACACTATGACACTTCTGTAGTCATTTACATACATACACAGAGTATAAAAATTTGAATCATCATTCACATGTTTCAACAAGACCCAACTCTGCCTTCTTGTTTCAGTTTTAATATTGTAAAGAAGTGGGCTCTTCATGGACTACTTACTTAGTGTCAGATTTTTCACATTTTTGTGTTTTGACTTCACTATTTGAAATGATCCCCCAAATACAGCGCTGTGGTACTGTCTAAATTAATATTCCTTAGTTCAAGAAAACTGTGACACACCTTATGGAGAAATGTGTGTGTAAGCCTTGCACAGGCGTGCATTACAGTGCTGTTGGGCATGAACCTGAATGTAATGAGTCAACAATACATGTGATATGATGTGTGTTTGAGTAGAAATACATACAAAAGAAGGGACTGGTGCTGACTGGTTGATGAAAAGATGACAAGGGGTTCACAGGAAACTACCTCTGCTTTTCCCTGGGAGTGCTGAGTCAACATTTGCTAATTCTGTGCTATCTCGGCATAAAGCACCATGAGCGACAAAAATAGGATGTATAATAAACATGTACCGGTGTACCACAGCAGCGGTACCTCACAGTATTTTTATTTCTCTTACCGATTAAACCTTAACTGACAAACCAAAAAAAATTTAGCTGTAATTAACAGTGACGCTCAGTTAAAGTTTATGTGTTAATGATAATGATATTTAGCTATAAACGGCACTTTGTCACCTAGAATTTGAACTAGTCACCAAATGGTTACCTTCACACAATAAACACATTTACTTGGTGATTAGCTGTCATCTGTGACTAAGACATGGAATAGTCTGTGTCCAATCCCTGCTCATTTTCCAGCATTTCCAGCCACAGCAAGTCAACTGTTGTCACTAGTTCTAACTCTGTGTTATCACAGAAATTACTGGGAGCTGCAAAAGCAAAAATCAGAAAGCAACGCCAAATGTGATACCACGTTCTTTACCTAGGCACTCAGACACAAACTCTAGGCAAGAAATGGATGCCATCCTAACACATTCCAGAGTCCAGCTGCTTCTGGATGCACCACTGTTTTCCTTCCTTGCTATCAATAGGCAGAACACACTTAACTTTACTATCTCTGAACATCTTCAAATCCATTTTGGCTCTGTTCCTTTAGAGCTGTTTCTTTTGTTTAGGATACTACCTTGAACACCTCCCTACATACAAATCCTACCTTACACACAAAGTCCACCTAAAAATCTTTGCATGAAAGTAAATTTTTCTCTAGACTGTATGATTGCTTGAAATATTATGGGATTGGTGCTCGGAGACAAACATATTTCTGAGGTTCTATATGGCTACTGAGTTCTTGTCTTTTAGGCACAGAATCATCTCCCTATGCTCCAGTATAAACTATCTACATTATTCTTGAAGTGCACCCAGTCATCTTACTGAGTCTGTTGATAAGCATTTTAAGCTACTTAAACAAGACACATGTGATATGAATAATTTGAGATAGAACAATCTATTTAATTCACAAAACAGAAGTTATATCTCTGAAGTATGCTTTTGTACTTCAGAGCATGCTCCCCACTTTCATCAAACACATACCTGCAGAGACTCGGGGACAGTCAGGCAGCATGGACTCCACAGATGTGTCCAATGGTTCTGAGCTGGAGACCCAGTTGCAACAGTTCTGTAATATAACAGATACAATGTTGATTACATAGGATTGAAAGGAAAACCACATTTTTAAGTTAAAGAGATAAATTTGTCCTATAAAACAAATCACTAGAAGGGTATTTATTTTCCATTGATTTTTAATTATTTTCTTACATAAACAGTCACTAATTATTAATGACTGTGGAAAAATTTACCTTTTCTAATTCAGCTAATAATCTGTGTTGATGCAAAGATACATAACCTGTAAAGTATAATCTGATATATTTTTAAGAAAAGTTAGATGTGAAGGATAAAAGCCTCAAATTTGGCCCATACTCCCTTTTAATTTTTACTCTGACCCACATCAATGAAGGGTATATCAAAATTACACACAAATACAGTCTGGAGAACTGTAGCCATGTTTGAGGACACAAAACTAATATTAATGCTCACTCTCTCAGATAATCATGATGTGCAACTCAGATAAATGAAATAACATTCTATTTCTTCTATAAACTTAAATATATAGATCCAAATTCTGGTTTAAAAGAGGTGGTTATATGGATTTAAAAATACTCAAAACACAGATATACACACAAAGAATCTCCACAGACAGATGCTATTTTAAAAGAAGCCCTCCCATCAGTCATGCTGGAGAAATGGGTGACTGCTCTCCTGGTAAGCAGTGTGCATTGTGTGTTTTAGATGCTTGCTGCCTTGGCTGTGCACCATGGAACCCGTTCTCACTGAGGACGGGTCCTTGACTGGTAGATCAAGTGTCTTATTGTATTTCCTTAATTCATTCTGTCTGGAAGAAGATGTCAGCTGTGTTGCAGTGAGGAGAAAAATTCAAAGGCCCCAGTCCCCACCAATAAAGGCCGAGGAATGGCTTTTGAATAGATTTGTCAAGGCAACCCTACTGTTCTGGGACCAGAGCGAGCAGGGATAACATAAAGGAAGGGTTTGCTGTATGAGATTACAGACGGAAGCTCACAAAGCATGGCAGATTTTTGTAAGAAACAGTGGATCAATGAAACTATTGAACTGGGTAGGAAAAAAACCCATGAAAACAAACACATCTAGTAATGTTCTTAAATGCTTTCACTCCTTTTATATTTAAAACAGATAAAATATTAGTATTTTTCATGTATGACAAAAGCTTGTTGGTTTGAAATGGATATATATTCTATCATGTGCATTTCTAATCTTAATTAGCAGCTGAATGTAAAATTACACAATGTAAGAGAAGTAGAAATTATAAAAGAAACAGGGTTTTTAGAAGATATTTCATACATTTGAAATAAGCAAAATTAATATTACCATTGATAGACTACCACATCAGAGAATTCTAGATAATGCAGAAGATTAGCACACAATTAGCCAGCTTTTATATACAGTGTGACACTCGCTTGTAAGAAATAAGTATTCTCTAAAGCAGTGTCAAGATATGTAAATGGATGATTTGTTTTATCATTCATCACAGCCCCTAATAAATTCAAAAATCATGACTTCTATAGGTACTAAAAATAGGCTCCCAATGATACAGGGAGATAGCTTCAATGAAGAATGACTTTCTCTTTCTCTCCCCTTTTCTTAAACAATTCAGTCTTTTCAATGACAGCAATTAGCACTACCAACAGACAGGCAGCGATTAGGTATATATTTTAATTATTATTCATCCTACTAGTGCCTCCAAATCTGATGAAAGTTGGCTATTACCCAGGTGATATGCCAGTCTTAATACTGATCACCTACATCTCATACATGCAGAACTGTGCCTTACACAATTTTCTAGTATTAATAAAAGTGACTGCACATTATAATCTGTAGATAATTAGGCATTTTTAAACTCACTTTGACTTTTAAAAGCTGAACCAAATGAACTTTATGTCCATTTAAAAAGAAAGCAGATCATCTTTGGCTCAAATATTGAAACAAAAATACAGGCTACCATTTTATGATTCTGAAATTTTAGTTCCATCTCAGCACATGCTGAAAGCTTTCATCTTTCCTGAAAAATCATGGACAAGTGAAGTGGCCTGTGCTTAAAAGTGAAGATGCCAGATGTCTTGTGTAACAAGCACCTATACAGGATTGGAAACCAAGCTGGAAGGGTGTGCGTGCGTGCGTGCGTGCGTGCGTGCGTGCGTGCGTGTGATTCTTCATGTGGCATTTTAGTTTCACTAGGGAAAGTATAGAGGAAGCAGGTTAAAAATGTTTGCTATATAAAAAAGTGAAATAAAATGACAGAAGCTTTGAAATATGTAAACAAAGATGTACAGAGATTATAATGGAACTTACCTGCTTGAACCCCATCGTCTCACATGTACCTCCCTGAGATGTGTTTCTATGGTTTAAAAACCAAAATTCTTTCCAAATTGTTCTACTGTTTACCTCTCCCTCTCCTTAATTCCCCAATTGGCCTCTCTTCCAGTTCTTCACAGAGGATGAGGTATCCTGGTGGCCACAAACTAGGAAAATTATCTGCATTTCAGACACAGTAATGTTATTGGCCTCCAAGATCTTATTCTCTGATGCATAGAGTAGTCAAGAAGGGGAGTTAGAGCAGAGGGACCTCAGTGCTGCACAGAGACCCATGCAGCAGGGGAGTCAGAGCAGAGGCACCTCAGTGCTGCACAGAGACCCATGCAGCAGGGGAGTCGGAGCAGAGGGACCTCAGGGCTGCACAGAGACCCATGCAGCAGGGGAGTCGGAGCAGAGGCACCTCAGTGCTGCACAGAGACCCATGCAGCCGGGGAGTCGGAGCAGAGGGACCTCAGGGCTGCACAGAGACCCATGCAGCAGGGGAGTCAGAGCAGAGGGACCTCAGTGCTGCACAGAGACCCATGCAGCAGAGGAGTTAGAGCAGAGGGACCTCAGTGCTGCATAGAGACCCATGCAGCAGGGGAGTCAGAGCAGAGGGACCTCAGTGCTGCACAGAGACCCATGCAGCAGGGGAGTCAGAGCAGAGGCACCTCAGTGCTGCACAGAGACCCATGCAGCACCCTAAGTAAAGCCAGGAGTCCTTGACCAGAGGCAAGATAGTGGAATGGATCACTTAACTAGCATTTCTGTGTCCACAGGAAAAATGAAGGCAATATAATGAATGTTTACTAAAGCTAAGTGTTTTAATGTAAAAGGTTTCTTATGCCGAGATTATGACCTTGCAGATTTTTGTGGTTATAAATTTTCCTTTGTAAAATCTATACCTTGGGGACCAGTCATAGAAACGGGAAGTGTCTAATGTCTACAATACTGAGTGACATGCTTTGACTTGTGCCAAGGGTGGATGACATTTGAGTAGACATGGAATTAAGTTTTGTTTTTATCTTGTTTAGTTTTTAATTTCGTTTCTTGTGTGTGTGTGCGTGCATGTGCGTGTGCCCACGAGTTCTCGCTTTCCACTGTGGAGTGTGCAGATTGAAGTCAGTTTGTTAGGTTTGTGCAGTAGGCGCTTTTATCCACTGATCCATCTTGTCATGATATGGAATTTGAAGTTAAAATAAATTAATGTGTGTATGTGTATGCCATGTGTGTGCAGGTTTCCACGGATGCCAGAAGGCGGCACCAGATATACTGGATGAAGCTCGAACTTTAGCTGGTTGTGAGCTGCTTTTAATGGCTGAGTCATCTCTCCATCCCAATACAGAGGTGCAGGAGAAGAGGGCACATATAGGAAGACTTGAGTGTGTGTGTGTGACTATGATCAAAATATATTGTGTGAAATTCTCAAATAATTAATAAGATGTTACTAAAAAGATTGTAAAATTTGGTATGTTATATGTAAAAAGAAAAAAGATGAGCGCTAACTCTGTGCAAGATATTGGAGAAGCTCGCTTTACTGGTTCAGTCAGGTTTTCACTCGTGTTTATTACACTTGCAAGCATTGTAAATAATTATGGCCTTAAAGGCTGATGTTTAATGTGGAGTTCTTGTGCCTTAAACATGATTGTGTATCATTGACCAGGTTATGTTTCTAGGGCCTAGTGGTGTGGTTTGAAATAAAACAGCCTCCCAAAGGGAGTGGCATTATTCAGAGGTGTGGCCCTGTTGGTGTGTCACTGTGGGGGTGGACTTTGAGGTCTCCTATGCTCAAGCTACTCCTAGTACCTCAGACTACTTACTGTTAATATAAGGCTCTCAGCTCCTTCTCCAGCAAACTGCCTGTACGACATGCTCCCTGCCATGATGATAATGACTAAACCTCTGAAACTGTAAGGCTTCATCTCAGTTAAATGTTTTCCTTTATAAGAGTTGCCGCGGTCACGGTGTCTCCTCACAGCAACAGAAACCCTAACTAAGACAGGCTTACACTCAGAGTTGAAGGGTATCAGGAAGGATGCATGATCATCATGTAGAACTGTTATTTCTGGCTTGGCTACAGACTTTCAGGTAAGGGGCATGTCGCACACTCATCATCAACAGTATGAGGACCTCACTAGAGAAGTCCCGTTAAGGGTCCCTCCAGGCACTTTTGACCCTTCCTCACGGCTTAGCATCCACACTTGGTCTTTCATCTGAGAAAGGTTTTGTTCAAGGGATTGCTAAAGTAGTCTTCTTTGATCCTTCTTTAAGAGAAAATGGTATTTTAAAATTAAATAATGTACAAGTATAATTTTTAGACTGTTTGCTAAATTGATAGGTTTGAAATATTTAAGAGCTTCATAGTAAAACTGCTTAATATAAATAACTTTATCACATTCATTTGTGGCTTATGAAATAACTGAAGCCATGACTTTACCAGTCTCTACTATAGTAGAATTGACTAAGCAATTGCTAGCACTGTTTTACTTCCAAATTTAAGGCAGCGTTTGGAAAGATGATGAAGTTAATCAACAGCAAAAAACACAGGGACACTCTCTTCCATAGCTAGAAGTGTTTGTTAGGAGGAAGGATATTTTCCAAATATTTTAATCTTTTTGTGTGTGGGTTTATGTAAGAACGTGTGTGTGTGTGTGTGTGTGTGTGTGTGTGTGTGTGTGTGTGTGTATGTGTGTGAGCATTTGTCACTTAGATTGACTTTCATAAAGAACTTCTAATGGGAAAAGGATGCACAGGAGTAAGTACTATAGCTGGGAGATTACTGACGTATATGATCACTACTGATATAGTACCAGGAGGCTAATGTCAAATTCTTATAATATCAGCAAGGTAAATATAAACAGAATGGAATTTTCAGCTGGACGTCTGTAATAGGATCAATGGACTGAATAACACTGAAGATTTTGCAAAAGACATGGGCCATGTTGGGTAGATCCTTGTTAGTTTTCAGACTCAGCAGGGACATGCAATAAGCAGCTTCCCTAGATGGAGGCGGGGCCATGGCCAGCTCAAGCATCTCCAACAATCTCCATTCAGCTTTTTACTGCTTCTACCCCAACTGGCAGTATTAAGCCAATCAATTTCATTGTGGCACATCCTGATCACATTTCCAGAAGGAAAGGACAAGACTGAATTACATGAAACTTCTTTCTGGTAATTAAGTAGCTGCAATACTAAACAGCCAGAAAAATTAAACAGTAGGGAATATGAATCATAACATCAAGCCCCTTTTCAGCTAAAATTCTAATGCATACTGTATACATACATAATAGTCTACTCAGTAGTGGGCAGGATGGATGCTTTCAAAAAGTTTTGTTCTTCTAAAACATTTCTTTTATTATTTTAACTGTATCTAGACTTTTTATTCTATCTCAATATTCTGTCTCTAGAGAATGTAGGGTGGGAGGCAATATAAGTTGGTGGGGACTCCAGACACAAAGGCTCATGTCCATTCATCTCAGCACTGAACAAAACTATGCCTCACCTCTCTCATCCATTCTCGGATGGTTTTGCCAGCTTCTTGATGCCACACATTGTGAACAGAGTCTGTCAATGCCACAGCAGTCACCTTACTTTTTACATCTGCTTCTCGTTGAATCATCTGTTTTAAAAAAGAAAAATAAAACATAGACTCTAATTATTCTTCCTGATACAGGCTGCTTAGTCATAGACAATACTATATTAAAAATAAAAAGAGACATGCATCTTTGGCTCGAAGTTACTCTTTTCTATTTGAATACATATCCTATTCTTGTCCATGGATATGAAAAGGCCAACATTTTCTTTCAAAAAGCTAATACCACTTAAGTCTTGGAAGGACATAGCTCTATTATTTTCCATGTGGCTTGACAATTCAAGGATTAAAGGGATCACAGGGGATCCCTGAGGGTTTCTTTTATCAATTCCTTCCATCACTTCCCACTTCAGGGCTTCAGGGAAGTCAGCACCTGGGGCTCACTGGCAGCTCCTCAGGACTGGCTTCTCCTCATTTTCAAGCAGTGGCACTGGTGAAGAAAGGTGCCTTGTTTTAGTTCTCCAGTTTAACTGGCCTACTCGTTACCATGGCCCTGCAATTCCTTGGTGATTTTGATACTTCCCCAAAACTATTCTCTTTCAGTATATTGATAATATTTTGCTTTCTGATATGTTTTGTTATGTTGGCAAACTATTACATTTTTAACTTCTCCCTACACAATGTTATATTTATGAAATTTACTATCTTCTGGAAAGAAGGAATTTGCCTGGCTTGAGACACTGACTACTTTATCAGTGGCCAGCCAAATAAGAAAACGGAAAATAAAAATTGTATATCAAATGAAGCAAAAGCTATTTCAATCTGTGAATACTGGACTGCCTGATGTGGCATATCAAAACGTAAGAAAACGTAACAAAAACTAAAGCCCGTGTTCTGTTGCAATGCTGCACTTTCCACTGGTGTCCCCACACTGATGAAAAAGGGCAGTTACTGCTTCTCCATCATTTGCTGCTAATTCGCATGAATTGTCCATCAAAAACATAATAGTGCACTTTAACAAAACAGAGAACTGTGAACGGTAAAGAAAGCTCACGCAGAGAACACTGTAAGCTACAAGTCCAGACAGAAGACTCTCTCCCATATTCTGAAGTAATCATCTCAAAATCAATCCTCTCTCAGATTACACTCTGCATTTCATACCTATTAATGAAAATTACATAAAAAGCATCTTTACCTCAGCAGCATTTTTGCACCTAAAATTTTTGTATTTTGGTGTGCCTATATTCTATAACAACAAGATACTAAAATTAATATTCATATGCAATACCATAGTCTCACAGAAAAACACCCCCTGAATTAGCAGCGTCTTAAAGGCTTAAATCATATAACAATCCAGTTAAATACTTCATTATTAGTTACTAACAAGTATGCTACCTTCTTTAATTTTTCACTGGATCACTATTGGCACTAGAATATAAAACAGTGCATCAACATCAGATAATTTAAAAAAATCACACAATAATGAATACATCTGGCTAAGGATGAAATTTTATGTCCTTACTTTCTTTTCCTAAACATGAAAACACAAAGAGAGAAAGAGAGCTAAAGCAATTGATAAGGTCACATTTAAGAATACCCTTTTCTGGTATGCTCAAAATTTTTGGCCTGGGTTTTATTGTGGTTGTTGCCACCATATGCAGATTTACTTAAGGTATTATCTGAAGACCCTAAATCTTGACAGCCACTTGTAAAATGAAATAGTACTAAGCAATGAACAGGATAAGGACTCAGTGCAAATGCTCAATGTCTGTGGGTTGAAACTCTACAAACTGGAATGATGCAGTCGTTAGGTGAGTGACCCGAGACCATCCATCAGGCACTTCACACACCTGACATGCTCATGTGCAACCCTTCATTTCATCATATTATAGCCCAAATGACAGAGTCATACAGTTCTGTAAAACTCTGCTTTGCAGTTTATAAATCAATCTGATATTCACATTTAGAAATGTAGAATGGTCAAATTCCTGAAGATCTTAAAGAGAAATTCACATATGAACCCTATGTCAAAGAATCTCAAATATTTGATTCTTTCGACGGTATAGAATCAGTCTATTTCCTTCTGTCTCAACATGGCTGCATCCCGATTCAGCAGTGATGGGACTCCATGTGGCTGCACTTGTGTCCAAAGGCAGCACTTCTGTTGGCACTGCTGGCCTGGCTTCAGCCTCCCTCCCCCCTTCAGTGCTCAACGTTGTGTGAGCAGGGAAAATACTGAAGTAGAGTGGAGACTACTCTCTAGGAGACTACATCAGAGATGTTTAAGAACTCACAGATCTTAGAAAGAATATAGTAAAACGAAGGATGGGTGGAGCACAGCTGGACAGGAAAACAAATTATAGATCATCATTTATAATATAGTAATATGTTGGGAAGTCCAGAAATCTGAAAAGGAAACAGACATATCACTGAAGTTCTACATGTCCACCTAAGATGGAAATACTGGTATTTAATTAAAATCCATATATGTGTACACTGTAATTTTATGTTCATATGAGTACTTTTCTGGGGAGTGATCATTAGCTTTCATGAGATTCTCAATGGGTCTGTTAGTCTCTAAAAATTGTAAGGCTTTGCAATCAGAGTCTCCACATATTCTTGAAAGAACTATGGGGTACTTACTAAGTGATCCCCTAGGACAATCACACTTAAGATCCATTTAACATCTATAACCACTTTTTCAGAAAGAAACAATGCTATCCATCATTTCAGGTTGTATCAACTTCACTCAACAGAAGAGATAAAGATTATGATAATCCATATAGTTAACATCCTAATGGTCCATGGCTTGGTTCTTATGCACTGCCATGTCCTCACATAGCCCCAGAGAGGAACCCGACAGGGTGGGAGGGAGCACAGAAACGACAGATACGCACACAGCGGAAAGTTGAGCCATGAAGGCAGGCTTAGTTAATCTTGGCAGGAGTAGTCTCTGCAGCAGAGCAGTCTCCAGCCATAAATATCTGAGGAGAGAAAGCCACAGTGGACATTTTCTGCACACACTATCAACATTTTCACTCAGACTAGAGGAAGGCTTTGCTGCCCCCCTGTGCTTCATGCAGAGGGCAGGCTTTGCTGGTCTCTAATGGGTCTGAGGAACATGACAACACCACACATCCATTCAGGAGTTCACACATTCAGGGCTTCCTCTATTCCCTACAATGAATGGTAAACTTACAATCGATATTTTTATGTGTATAATATTTATATCTGAAAACTATCCAATAAATTTTAAAGCAAATAATATATTAATTAGTAAGGATTGTTAATTTATTGTATTCATAAATACTACTTAAGATTATGTTAAACATGCCGTTTCCCCTAAAATGATAAAGAAACAGCCTGAGACCTGTTAAGAAAAGGGTCACAGCCACAACCCACAACTCCAGAGAAGCTAGCTAACAAGAAAAATCCAAAGAGGGACCCATGGAGTGCCCTGGAAAGGGTAAATAGATGAGATCTCCATGAGTAAACTGGGGGTGAGAGGTGGGCAATGGACGGTAGGGGATGGAGGATGAGAACATAAGGGAATGGGATGGTCGAGCTGGAACAGGGATAGAGGGGGAGAGCAATGAAAGAGATACCATGATAGAGACATCACGGGGATAGAGAGAAACCTGGTGCTAGGGAAGTTGCCAGGAATCCCCAAGGATGACCCCAGCTTGGACTGGAAATAGTGAACAGGGTGCCTGAACTGAACTGGCTTGCCCCAGTGATCAGATCGGTGAGTACCCTAACTGTCATCACAGAGCTTTTCTCCAATGACTGATGGGAGCAGATACAGAGATCCACAACCAAACACCAGGCAGAGCTCAAGGAGTCCAGTCAAAGAGAGGGATTCTATGAGGAAGTGCATCAGGATCATGATGGGGAAACCTGCAGAGACGACCAAACCAAACTAGGGGAAACTCATGAAAGTTGGATCAATGGCTGTGGAGCCTGCATGGGACTGGACTAGGCCCTCTGCATGGCGAGACAATTGTGTAGCTTGATTTGCTTGGGGGGCCCCTGGCAGTAGAATCAGAATCCATCCCTGGTGCATGAGCAGGCTTTTTGGAGCCCACTACCTCTGATGGGACACCCCTTGCAGCCTTGAGGCAGGGGGAGGGGCTTGGACTTGCCTCTACTGGATGTTCCTCCCCATGGGAGGCCTTGCCTTCTTGTGGGGGGTGGAAGGGGTGGGTTGAGGGGGGAGGCTCAGGAGCAGGAGGAGGGAAGATGGGGATCTTTGATTGGTGTGTAAAATGAATGAAAAAATTTTCTTAATAAAAAGAAAAAAAGAAGAAAATGGTCATAGAACTCATAGGTATTAAGACAAGACAACTGTGGCCTGACTGAAGATGTGCACTGTTGCATGCATACATACACACACATATACAAATACATATATGTTTGTATGCATAGATATCACAATGGATACTTTTTAGCAAATTATGATGTTATTGTCATAAATAAATAATTGATTAACTCTTCAACAGCATTTGGGGTTTAAAAAAATAATTTAAAAAAGTGACTCCAAATAAGTAAGGAATTCTGAAAAACCAACAAACATGACAAGAACCAGTTCCAATAAAAAAAAACCCTCAAAATAAAGAGTGTTTAAAATTTATTTACAGTTCTGAACTAAATAATGTATAGATTAAAAGGAAATTATTTTTATAAATTAAATTGATGTTAGTGTATAAGATATTTTATCCTATCACGTGATTTTCCTCTTCTTAATTCTACCCAGTAATCTCCTTATATTTCTTTCAATTTAGGTTCAATGTAAATTAATCTGCTTTCACATTCACTATTTTGTGTAGATGTAATTCTAAATGGTCTTATTAAATAAGAAACACAGAGCCAAATGCAGAGTTAAGAGCCCAAAGATCAGAGAGCAGTAGTCAAGAGCTAAGACCACTTTCTTACCCCTCGCTGCCACTGCCATCCTTCTCCTGAGCAAGAGACTTACTTCCTGTGTGTCTGTGTTTTTATTGCCTTTCTGTTCTCCTTCTCATTGGCTCTAAACCCAAACGACATGACTTTCTTGTCAGTGCCTGTCTATACAGACCTCCAGGTCCTTA